CGTCATGTTCCGTGGTCTATGCAACTCGCTATTGCGGTCTTGATCTTCTGACACAAGGTGCGACTTAGACAATGCGCCAATGAATGCATATCAGTACATGTACCCTGATTTCAGAAAATTCTAACGTACCATGTGAGCGGTTAAAAATATTAGGTGCGGGGCAAACAGCCATGCTAGGTGAACAGAGTTTTTAGGTACAGGGAAGCCGTTCCCTATTGGGTGAGATGCGTGTGTGTGTGTTGTGTGTCATTGAAAAAAAAAGAAAAACGAAAAATAGGGATTCACTGGCCAGAAAAAGCCACTTCAAAACAGCTGTGTGGTGGATACCAGGCTAAAATTAGTGGCGGTCAATTCATCAGCCTTGCAAGCTGTTGAGTGGTGTACTCCCAGCACAAGTTGCTATGTCTAACATAGCTGTTCGCTACAGAGAGTAGTATGTCAATGGTATTGTACTACTCCCTGGTTCTCTATCATCGCTTCCGCGATGGGTATGTCTGAGTCTGTGTATGTATGTGTGTGTGCATGTGTGGCCAGAGGAACTTTTAGGTATAAAAGAGATGCACCGGATATTAACGTTCACCGAACAATTGTGACATTACAGCATATGCATTATGCAAGCTTGCATAATCAGCCCTACAAAGTACATGCCAGGCATTGCACTGATCTACACGTATAAGGGCTGCTGGACCAGGGCAGCCTGGCAGCGAATTCCACATCGCTAAGGAATACAGTTGCCCTCGTCGCCTCTTCAGATAGCGCGAGCGGTTCCTGGCAAGCCACCTGTGCCTCTTGGCTGCTCGCACACAGCCACTAAGTCACGCGGTATGTACAATCACCCCCGCCCCCCCCCCCCCCCACAACACACACGCACACACATACACACACACACACATACACACACACACACTTTCATTTGAACTACTGCAATGGTCTACTCAACCACTGTTTAATTAGCAGCGACTCCATCGCCACATGGCGGGAGGTAGACAAAGATTAACTTGTAAGGCAGAGAGAGGCAAATGATTTTACACAGCAAAGCAACTGCTGCTATCGCTTCACACGGAAAGGAAGGAATATTTCCAAGAACGTTCAATAGAAAACGTAGCAGTGGCATGAGGTCAGAGCCGGCTCTGTCACAGCCTCACGCACGCGTATAGTGATGTATGCTTATATGTGTCAATGATCACTAAACTTAGCAGGACCCAAGGCAAGAGAGAGAAAGAGAGAGAGAGAGAGAGAGAGAGAGAGAGAGAGAGAGAGAGAGAGAGAGAGAGAGAGAGAGGAGAGAGAGAGAGAGAGAGAGAGAGAGAGAGAGAGAGAGAGAGAGAGAGAGAGAGAGAGAGAGGGAGAAAAGGTGTCGGGGAGGGGGGGGGGTTAAGTAGCAGGGGCAGCAGTCCTCCTCCTCCCCCCCCCCCCTCCCCCGCCCCACACACACCCCTCATCTAGGCTAACAGCAATAAAATACGCTTTACACACCGTCTAGCTTTTGTGGGCGAGAAGAGCTCATCCGGTCGGGGTTAGAGAACCCCAGGGGGCGGCATAACAGTAAAAATCCTACAAATTTCCATTGAGTCTTGGGGGGTTTCCCCTCCAACGCAAATCACGCCATTGCGCTGTACTGGGGTGGCGTGTAGCACGCTGGATGTAGACCAACCGGAGCAAGTCCTAGAGTGTTGTGTGACGCGACGGGGCGGCGGCGTGGACGGACGACTGTGGCTCACCGGATAGCAGGCGGCGTACGTACGATTCCCACTGCTCCTCGGACACAAAGTTTCCCACCGCGTTGTCCATGACGCCGTTGACCGTGAATATGGGCGTGCCGCACACCGTGCGTGCCGCGGCGTATTTCCAGTCCATGACCACCTGCTCGCGGTACATCTCGTGCGTCGTGATGTTTGTGAACGCGTCCGAAACGTCCACTGCGCACTCGGTGGCGAAGAACTTGCCGATCTTCTCGCCCAGCGCTGCCTCGCTCAGGTCCACCGCCTTCGTCTTGAAGTCGTCCTGCAGCTCGAACACCTTCGTGATGCAGTCGATCTGCTTGCTGATGTCATGCGTACGCGCCATGTACGCACGGAATCCGGTGCTGACGAACGTCGAGTGGTGGTGATAGGGCAGTGGGAAGATGTTCATGACGATGCCCAGCTTGTCGGCGGCGAACACGGCGGAGTCCAGTACCTTGTGTATCACCGGCCAGTTGGACTTGGAGTCGGGGCACAGCAGATCGTAGAAGATCTCCACGGTCACTGTGCTGGCTCGCGTTCCGGCCAGATTGAAGCCGCGCTGAACCGGTGGGACGGGCAGCTGCGCCCGGACGACTACGGCGGCCAGCAAGCACATCACCTGTACAACGCAGCAATTCACCATGGTCTTCATCGTGCACAGACAACTACTACAAGTAAAGAATTATTTTAGCGAATCCGGAGTATTCCGCACAGTTGCCACTACTCAAACTAACAACTACTTCTTCTCGATTCAAGGAATCAGAAACTTTCTAAAAATATTTTCACCCCCATCTTCAGCGCTAGTCCATTTGTGGAGCTAAACGGAGTTTGCAGTAATCATGCAGTTGCAAGGCAGGTGATGTCAATCAGCTGATCCATCCGCATCATGTGATGCCAGAACAAGTCACGTGCGTGCCCTCCGCACCAACCGCCCGGCAATGCCAATGGGCGGCAATGGGCCAGGATGTCGAACACTACAATGTAGCACTGGTCTGTGGCAGCAGGCAGCAGGTAGGCCCCGGCCCGGGGGATATTGCTCGTGATGGATTCTACTTTTCAATATGCTCACATTCTGCTCCGAAATAGCACTGATAAAGCTTGAATTCTGCTTCGGAAAAATGGAAATATTGGTATAGATTACTAATACGAAGTAGAGGTTGCGACTTCGGCGACGATTTTGTTTAGGAATGGGTTTGCTCCCACACTGGAGCTCGCGCTATTCCGGTTTGCCGAGTCGAAGGTTCGATGGACTTCTCGTGTTCTCTGGATGGCAGTCGTGAGTCAATCAAGTGTCAAGTCGTCGGCGGAATAGCGCGAGCTCCAGTGTGGGAGCAAACCCATTCCTAGATTACTAATGTTTATAGTAAAGAAAAAGGACCAAGAAACTACAAGAATGAAGTTGAAGACACCACTGCAGCTGTACCGCTGCAGTGATGTCTTCAACTGCATTCTCCCGAGTCAAGCTCCGTATGAAGACACCCAAGAAGAAGATTGCCTGGCCTGGTGAGTCCAGCGGGGACGAAACGTACGTCACAATCGAGCTACGTACAGTCAACTAATTACTTCGCTAATAACGACTGCGGATATAACGACAATTCGCGAATAACGACAGAATTCCCATGCCCAGAGCAAAGTCCCATTCCACTGTAATACATAATAGACCAATCCCGAAAAGATTGTCTGGGTTCGTGAAAGGGGGCACGCGTGCAAGCCAGCACGTGTGAAGTGCATCGTTTTGTATTCAGTTTGTGTGTGTCAGCTCATGGCGGAGGAGAGAGAGACTTTTGCTCGCCGAGCTGAAGCTAAAGGATTTGATGGAGTCCTGCCAGCAGCTAGTCAAAGGACCTTCGGTACCTTAGGCAGACCCTGACGGAGTTTGGAGGCCAGCAAGCTCTCGGTGAGGAGAGAAACATTCGCGTGGCGATGGACTCTCCGCTTCACAAAGTTCAACCGATTTACAAGTCCTAACTGTTGTAGTCTGAAGCTGGACTCTCATCGCCCACCTACAGGTAGCTTTTGGAGCTGATGGATTTCCCGACTTGGACTCCTTCCGCAAACTCTCGCAATATTACTACAGTGTATGCTGTGTTTCCGCACGCTTGTGTCGACATGTCACCTATACTGTACATGTACCGGGTCGCGGAGGAGCTTGACGACCTCCGCTGACTCCAGGTTTCCGAAATACTGCCGTCGTCTTCGTTGATGTTGCTGGTGACATTCTCCCCTTGCAGGACGTGCGCATAGTTGTCGTCTCGGGGGTAAAGACTATGTTGTCTTTCGAAATAGTTCTTCATCACGCTCGCGCGAATGATGTTTGTCATCATGAACTCGTTCCGACGGTGTGACACGGCGATGGTCTTTGGCGGGGCACTGGCTTGGCGAAAACGATATCTTCTTGTACAATATAACACTGATCGGCTGCAGATGAGTACAGTCACTTCGTGGTTGGTCATAGGAGGGCAGCTGCCAGGAAAGAGGCAGAACTCATCGAAGACGAAGCGCTCGCAACAAACAATAGCACTCGAAATATCTCGTAAGATTTAGGGCCTATCGCTTTGAGTCACAGTGCTCACAGCCTTGCCTACTTCATCAAAATGAGCTCTACATGTTCGTTGACCTCTTCACACTACACAGAAGAGCGAAACAAGGATTATGTCTTAGCATTTCAACTCCAACTGCAGACCATTACCAGTGCGAGAGAGAAATCTACAAAGGGCTTTGCTTTCTGTCGCATCGTCTCTCTTGCATGCAACTAACGAGAAAACCGTGTACTTACCCTCGCATTCACACGCGAACTATCAAACACGTCCTGTGCCGCATGCTGATCAGGTAGTGCCATGTACGTGTTGTACAGTGTACTCTCAGTTGACATGCCCCCTTTCGAACCCAGACAATCTTTTCGGGATTGGTCTATTATAATGAGACTTCGGGTATAACGACACTTCGCGAATAACGAGACTTTTCTGATGCCCCGCCGAGTGTCGTTATAAGCGAAGTTGACTGTATAATTATTAATAATTATGTCGTTGCTGTGTCATCATCTATGTGCCATGCGCTACTTGATGTACCAGCCTGCTATGCCGGATACCGCCAACCATGCATCGACCAGGCGCCAGGCGCGAACTGATGGTGGTGGTGGTGAAGGAGAGCTCTGTGCTAGAACCTTGCAGCCTAGAGAGCGTGTGTGTGCAGGCGTGTGTTTACCGCCATATTGCCGGGTGTGTCTTTACCACCATATTTATCAACCATAAGAAACTACAAGTTATTATTATCAAA